GTCCTAGGGGTTTGCCCATTCGGGCGTGTTTGGGGCCCCTTCTAGGGGCCATCCAGACCGTCCCGAGGGCCGAAAGGTATGCGTTGCTGCAGGCGGTCCGCCTCGGCCCGAGATGAGTTGAGATTATCAGTGCTCACCTCTCTCCGGTGCAAGAGGCATCGCGCTGGTCTGCCGAGCTGGCTACAGGTTGTCTCAAGCATACGTGCATCTGGCGAGAGTTGTTTCAGTTGTGTCCAGCAGGAGCTCCGCCCAGTGAGAGGCCTCGAGCCCGCTGGACCCCAGCCCACGGAGACGTCGACTCCCTCTTGTTTGGCCAGTGCGCTTCGAGCATGGATCGAACCGTGGACACTGCGGTTTTCGATTATCTGGGCAACATGTGGGCCGATGTCTTGGCGAAGCTGGGGGCGAAGCAGCATGCCATTGCTAACATCGCCACCGCAATTTTAAAAGCGCATTTGAAGGACGTGAAAAAGACGTGCCGATGTCTGGGTCAGGTCGCTCAGTTTGTCGCGTCTCAGGCCGATTCCTCTTCCATGTCTGCGAGGCCCTGCCGTAACCCTTTGGCGGTGCCTCAGCTTTCCCTCCTTTCTCACGGCTTGGAGGTGGCGGTGAGTGGGGGGGGGAGGTGTACGTGGCGCCGCTGCTCCGGCAGGACTTCGCTCTCTCGAGCAAAGCTTGAGCAGCCTGGCAATAAGTGTGAGCCCACGCCGCTCCACTTGTATCTCGCAGCTGTTAGAGCCGAGCGTCACAATGGCCTCCCTAGGGCGCGTAGTGATGCTGTCTTGAACGCCTGTCGTGAGCTGGGGCTCACTTATGATGGCCTGCACGTGCAGGCTCTGGAAACTTTCGTGTATCGGGGCCATTGCGTGCAGGCCACAGACACGTGTTTGATGTGCCGCCGCTGCGGCGCCCGTGCCTCCATCGAGGCCCCAGTGTGGAGGGGCCTTTTGGCGGACTGCCGAGGCCCTGCTGAGAGGGCCTCAGTGCAGTCCTGGCGCATTGATGCTGCTCTAGCGGGTCGCGAGATCCGCCAGGTGGTGCAGGCAATGGTGGCAGGCAGCGGCTGGTGCCGTCGCGCTGCTTGCCACCACGGCCTGTGCCCTAGTGGCCCTCGTCCTGCGCGGAGGGTTGCGGGACCGTGACACACGGGAATCCCGCGCCTTCCACTTGTTCCCCTTGCCCGCCAGCCGTCATCCGAATCGGATGTTGCGCCTCGGCTTGAGCCCTGATCCCTCCTCCTCCTCCTCCTCCTCCTCCTCCTCCTCCTCATCCTCCTCCTCCTCCTCCTCCTCCTCCTCCTCCTCCTCCTCCTCCTCCTCCTCCTCCCCCTCTTCCCCTCCCCTCCTCCTCCTCCTCCTCCTCCTCCTCCACCTCCTCCTCCTCCTCCTCCTCCTCTTGTCCTCCTCCTCTTCCTCCTCCTCCTCGATCTCTTCCTCCTCCTCCTTCTCCTCCTCCTCCTCCTCCTCCTCCTCCTCCTCCCTCCTCCCCTCCTCCTCCTCCTCCTCCTCCTCATCCTCATCCTCCTCCTCCTCCTCCTCCTCCTCCTCCTCCTCCTCCCCCTCCCATGCGCTACAGCGGGGGCGAAGGAGGGAAGGGGCGGAAGGGATTATCAACGCGTTGCATGGGCATCAGCGATAATTCGTAGCCGAGGGGCCGCAAAGATTGGACTGATGACCGACGAGCTCGGACGCAGACAGAACCGAGTGGCAAAGCGTGTGTGTGGGCATTTGGGATAGGGGTGGCCTGCGGCCCCAGACCCTCTTGAACCTCGAGCCTGGGAGCCCCTCAGCTAGACATGGGTTCTTCGCTCATTGTTTTTAATCATCCCGCCTTCCTTCTCCTTATCATACTCATATATTTCCGTGTTCCCGTCCTTGTCGCCTTGATCTCATAATCTTCTTTCCCGCCACCGGGGGAGGAAGAGGGCCATGGGAAGGGACAGGAGGAGGTCGGTGGATGGAGAGGAGGAGAAGGACGAGGACGAAGTAGTCGAACCAGTGAGGTCCTCCACAAATGCCATGCGCAACCAGCCGTCCGACATGTAACTTGGGCTTCGCGAAATACAGAAAGAACGAGGACAAGGAGGAGGGGGAGGAGGAGGAGGAGAAGGAGGAGGAGAACGACGACGAGAGGAATATTGGGCGGGAAAGGTGCACGGCAGGGAGGAAGCGGAAGAGGAGGCCGACGATGATGAAGAGGATGAAGAGGAGAAATGAGAAGAAGGAGGCAGGAAGGAGGGGGAAGTGGAATTCATCAGGGTTGCCACCTCCAAACATACGAGCCGTTCCAAAAGTCCGTGCCTTCGAGGATCGAGGGAGTTGCCATCTCTTCCGGCGGAAGGTCGGCGGAAGTAAAACAAGGCCGCGAGGGCTGGACGAGGGCGGCGGAAGCAAAAGATTCGCTGCCAGGAGGCGAAAACGTTGTTTTAGGTTCAGGGTCCCCGAACATCCGCCATACGACTGTATACAAGTTGCGTGCCGAGCTCTCCCTCCAGCCCCGCTGCGGGCCAAAGAGGCTCGGTGGTGATCTGGCGCGTGCAGGGCCTGCCGAAGGTTAGGACTCCGTTGCACCTCGACTTCTCGGGCAGGTCGACGAGGACTCCTCCTCCTCCTCCTCCTGCTCCTCCTCCTCGTTCTCCTCCCCCTCCTCCTCCTCCTCCTCCTCCTCCTCCTCCTCCTCCTCGTCCTCTTCCTCCTCTTCCTGCTCCTTCTCCTCCTCGCCTTCTTCTTCCTTCTCCTTCCAACTCCTCCTACTCCTCCTCATCGTCGGTATCCTTCTCCTCTTCCTCCTCCTCCTCCATCTCATTCTTCTCTTTCTTCTCCTCCTCCTCCTCCTCCTGTTCTTCCTCCTCCTCCTTCTCCTCCTCGTCCTCTCCCTCCTCCTCCTCCTCCTCCTCCTCCTCCCGTTTTTTCTTTTTCCCCTTCCTCAACGTACTCGTCGTTCTCCTTTCCCTCCTCCTCATCCTCCTCCTCCTCCTCATCATCATCATCATCATCCTCCCCCTCCCCCTCCGCGGCATGAAGGACGGGGGGCCCGCAGGACACGGGCCCTGTAGTCACTGGGACTTTCCCTGGGACCAGGATCTTCCTCCAGAGTCGTCGTGTGTTGCGGCCCCGGGGCTCGTGGAGGGCACGAGGTGCTCGGAGACGACGATGTAGACATCCAGTATACCTTTCTCGTCAAGGTTCCGCTTGTGCCTCATGCTGCGCAAGAGAAGAGAGGCGTTAGGAGGAGGAGGAGGAGGAGGAGGAGGAGGAGGAGCAGCAGCAGCAGCAGGAGGAGGACGAAGAGGAGGTGGAGTCGGAGGAGGTGGAGGAGGAGGAGGAGAGGGAGGGGGAGGGGGAGGAAGAGGAGGAGGAGGAGGAGGAGGAGGAGGAGGAGGAGGAGGAGACTCGGCCGAACTCTGCCCCGCAGTGTCCTGTCTTCTGCGGCCCCCGCGCAGACGAAGCCGAAGGCGCTGTTGCCTCGCACCCCAAATCGGGTGCTGCCAGAAGTGGCCCCGGCAGCCTCATCGTGTGCACGAAGGCCCAGGTGGCCCACAGAGGACCCCCCGCGAGGCCCGGAGGGGCCCTAAATGTCACCACCCACCAAACCACCCCAACCCAACCCGAAGGCTCAGATTTACCCTCGATTTCCAGTGGGGGGGGGTCGGGAAAAATCGAAAAAACACACATGGAACCCGTACCCCCCCCAACCCGAAATTCGAGTCTTCGGGTTGGGTTGGGGTTGTCTGGTAGGTAGTCAGGTGGCCACAGAGGACCCCCCGCGAGGCCCGGAGGGGCCCTAAATGGCGCGAAAGGGTTGGGGCACCTCGGGCCTGGAGCACTTCTGGCAACCTCCGAACAGGCGCGTTGCTGCCGAGCATCAGGCGAGTACTTGCTCGTGCGCCTTGTGTCGTCTTGCGTTCCAGCTGAGCGTTCCTTATGCTTCCGGCTCGACTCGACCTGATGGAGGTGTCATTTGGCGGCTCCCAGTTTCACCCGCCATCATCCCCTGCCGCCCTCCTTCACTATCCTTTCATCCGCCTTGTTCCCTCCCCCCGTTGCCCGTCCTTTGCCGTTGCCATGTTGGTTCAAGTAAGAAGGGGATCTCTTGCGTACTATCCAGCGTGCCGTGCGGGACCAGACCACTCACAATTTTTTTGCTTCGCCACGAGGATCTCCCCAGTAGGTCCCGCGATGAACCCAGGGAATTCAGCTCCCAACAGTGCCATTGGCAAAGGAGTATCCAGGCCGCAGCCATGGCCCTTCGGCCAGGACGCTCTCCCGACCCAGGCCTACGCGGACAAGGGCTCCAAGAGTCACAAGGGTTCCAAGGGCTCGAAGGGCTTCCACCCGCTCGCCAGCTCCGACCCGTGGTCAGGCGGGAAGTGTAGGACCTGCGAGCACAAGGATGAGCCGCGCAAGAAGACCGCTGCCGTGCCCGACTCCGAAGAAGACAAGGACGGGGACATGGGCGCGTTGCCGTCGTCCCAGGATGCCCAGTTTGAGATCATCGACGCCTACAGAGTTCTGAAGGCTGCCGACTTGGAGGAGAAGGCGGCGCACGAGGACGTTGGTTCGCTCTTCCCTGGCGCGCCGAGAAAGCGCGAGAAATATGGCATGGTCAAGGATGACGTGAGCTCCGAGGTTTCTCCCGCTCGCATCACCTCAGCTGAGAAGGAGGGGCCGAAGGTGGAGGATGCCATGATGCCACTGCCGACAAACCTGGACGTTCTGAACTTCATGAAGCAGGTGGGAGCCGACGGGAGGCTGGAGACCCCCACCACCAAGACCGAGGTGCAGGCCTCCGCCACCAAGCACGATGAAGCCATCACAAGGCCAAACCGCAAGGGAGGAAAGACCACCTGGACCGGATAATCGGCGTTTACTAAACGGCCTTGGGCGTTTACCAAACAGCCCTGCTCTGTTTGATTCCTTCCTTGGGTGCGTTTGCTAAACGGCTTCTCGTGTCGGGGTGGTTACTATCGGGGTGGAGTTTCTGCCCTCTAAAACCAGCGCATGGGTCCGCAAGCCCGCCAGTTCCAGAAGGCTTTGGAAAAGACCAAGCCTTCGGCTGTTGTCGAGCAGCCTGGAACCAGGCTGGAAACCAAGTTCGAGGCCAAGTTGAAGCTGTTCACGCCACCTCCGCCGCTGCCGCGCCCCACTACGAGCCCGCCCCCCCTCGACAGGCGGATATACCGCCGCGCCCTCATAGTTGGGATCATCGGATTCGACCAGGCATGGTTCAAACCCTGGCAAAGTTTGGATCGGAGGTTTCCCGACCAAGATGCCCGCTTCTGTCATGCACCACTGCGCCCGGGCCATCATTGCGGAGATGCCGCGCGACGAGGAGCTCCACGCTGAAGCCACATGCCACATCCTGAACCGCAGCTGCTCCATCAGGTTTGGCTCCGTCCTCCACGCGAAGACGCTCCGCGACAGGGCGCGCACCGAGGGCCTCCGGTAGACAGACAGACATAAGCGCCGTCATGCGCTGAGAACCCGCATGGGCGCCAATCCCGACTCTCGCAAGAAGAGCCGTTACCTCGGAACGCTCCTCGCACGAATCCTCGCACGAAGGCAGAGAACATGCTCGAACTCGGCTGCATGAAGATCGCAAGCAGCCTTCCGACAGGTTCTTTTGATGGCTCGGGGCGAAGATGTCTGGATTTTCTTCGCGCTGCAGGAGGGCCACAACGAGGCGCTGGACGCAGTTCCCGAAAAAGGCCTCCTCAAGACCTGCCAGATCACTGAGGAGATGGCCTCGACACGGATACGCATCGCCATGAGCTGGGAAATTGCATCTGCGAGCCTCTACAGTTCCACGCTGACCTGCCAGACTTCGACGCTCCCGATTTCCGCTAGCCGTTCCCTCCTCCGGCGGCCACATCTCCGACGAGCTCAGTGGAAGTTCTGGTCCTGATGGGCAGGGACCCTTGACCAGACTCGCTGTCGCCATTTCCGTTCTGCCGGGATGCTCCGATGGGCCGTCGTCTGCACCCCACTCTTCGGCTCCCCCGTCTTCCTCCACAGACATGCTGGCGCGCGCGCGCGTGCGACTCCGAAAGCTCCTCGTCCTTTTCGAGAGGCTCGAGCTTATTGCCGGCAGGCGGGGTCTTCTGTGCAAGAGTAAGGCTCAGCCAGTTTAGATTGCGAAGGCAGCTGTTCCTCTTCGGCCCCGTCTTCGCCCCCAACCCCCTCCAGGTCGACCGGCACCGGCCTTGCAGTCTTAGGCCTTATGATATTCGAATTAAGTGTTCAGCAGTCCCAGTCGCTCTGATCCGCACGTGCGGGGTGCTACGTATTTTTCTTTTCCGCATCCTCCTCTTCTCATCCTCCCCCCACGCATCATCTTCTTCCTCCTCCTTATCCTAAGTCAACTCATCCCCCCTCACCTCCCCCTTCATCCTTCTCTTCCCATCTTCCTCACTCTTCAAAACCTCAAAGACAGATTGTAAGGACCTCCCGAGCGAGGCGCTGGTGTCAACACGCCGGGGGAGGCAATACAGATACACACCCATATTCTTACAGACAACCACTACATAGTATCGAGACGTGCCAGGAACATGAAGTACACGTATGGACATCTCCGCATCGAGTACTTGCATTTTGGGGATGTTATGTATGCGAAGTGCGCTACGTCCTCGTGGCTATGTACTGTAAGCTAAGCCTGGCAAGCTACGCAAGCGGAGTCCTCTTGAGACGTTGCGGGGGTCTGTTTGGTTGTTTGGGGCCGTCTTGTGTCGTCGTGAACCCATCCAGGTCATGCGCAGCCGATCGTCCAGTTCGCATCTCGTTTGCACGTGCAGCGCTACCTCGTCTTAATCGCTTGGTGGTGGTTGCTGCCCGAGGTGAATTTCGCCCCATCGCCCGATGTGCCCCCCATGTGTGCGACGCAATGAGTGAGATGCAACATTGCCCATGATGTGTCATGTGAGCGCTCTTGGGGGTAAACGCAACAAGTGGGCAAAGCGGCGGGGCACTGTATGCGCCATGCGCCCAGTGTGGCAGCCTTGTGGTTTGGGGGCGCATGTGTTTGTGCAGGTCTTCGAGTTCGCATCCATCACTACTTGATAATGGTGATTGAGCGATACGGCTGTCGATTGCTTACTATCTATGTCTCGTTGGCTCGTGCTAAGGGTAGTATTGCCATTGCACTTCTGTAGAGGGCTTTCTTTCCTGTGAGTGTTGTGTTGAGCTCCTCGCGACTCCTCCGCAACCTTGTCGGGTCGAGTCTGGGGCCACAGGCCGAACAGCACTGCGTGTCTCAACTGCCCTGCGTGCAGCTTTGGGCGCATGCCGCGCAGGGCGAGGCCCTCAGTTCCAATATGGGGAGCCTAGGTAGCATCGACGAGTCTGCTTTAGGTTTGTTTCAGTGGGTGAGTGCCTCCGGTAAGGCTACAGCCGTAGACGGGCTAACTGCGATGCAGGCAACGGCGATGTAGGCTTCGGTAGTGTGGGAACGCGTGGCTCGCGCTTGCCTGCTATGCCGCTGTGTCGTGCTCGCTGGATTCATTCGCAGATCGGACATGTAGGAAAATGTGGTTCGCAATTTCCTACAACTTGGACCCTACATCACCGTTAAGCAACACCGCCGTTAGCCCGGCCTTGGTACAGCAGCCGTGCGCAGCAGCCGTGCAATTGTGTCGTAGGGTTTTTCAAGGGCGGCGTTGGATGACAAAGGTGCGCGGACTAGCTCTGGTGGGTTGGGAGGCCCGATGATTCTCCATTGCAGGATTGCTTCGGCCCAGCAGGCGACAGACCAGACATTCATGTCTATCACTTTCCGGTGTATTTTTGTTTGCCAGCTTGTGCGGTTCAGCGCTATAAGCTTGATCCCTCCTTAGAGGAGCAATAACCATAAATTATTGGAGGTCCGCGCGGAGCGCGCCAGGGGCTGCGCCGCAGGCGCTGCCAGGGGGGTCAGCGCAGATCCGAGAAATCCGCGCAGACTTCCGAAAGTTTATGTGTATGTCGTTTTTTGTTCCTATATTCCCTTTTATTCTTCCCTCATTCCTCCTCGAACTCCTCCTGGACAACGTGATGTTGCTCGACCCCTCTCGTCGGTCTGGCCCCTCCCATTTCCCCTCGATCGGCTGTGGCACGAGTCAGGGCAGGAGATGCGACGAGGCTCGTCTGTCCAGCTCTCGCGTCGCCGGGGAGCTTGTCAGGAATTGAACAGCAACGAACTGAGGGCATGAAGAAGGCGGTTCACATGCTTCCTTCTCTTACGATCTCCCCTCCTCCCCTCCTCCTCCCCTTCCTCCTCCCCTTCCTCCTGCAGAGAGGGGTTTGGCCTTGATGCCTTTTCTCTTGGCTCCCTCTCTCCGAGGTCTCTCCGGGAGCGCAGGACCACGGCATATTCGAAACATTGGTAAGTGGAATCGGGAGGGGATGCAGGAGAACGACGGGGAAAAGGGGGGCGGAGAGCGAAAGGAAGAGGTGAGGGAAGGCAGGTACAAAGTCAACAGCGCCGAGTGTTCCATCCACAAGACCAGCCGCTGAGGCTCCCTGGCCAAAGTTGCTCGTGTCTAGCTCGTAGCGGGCAGAACACACACACACACACACACACACACACTCCATTGCCACCGCTGTTCTGCCGTGCTGCTTTCACACGGCTACGAACTCTTCGCATGTTAAATTCGAACACACGGTGCCAGGTCAACCTCATTCATTCTCTCACTTCCTCGGACGAGGCCTGCCAGCCTCCTTCTCCGACTTGACGCCCGTTATCATGTGCAGAAGATCCCTATATACCCTCCTCCCTGGTTGGCGCTGCCTCGCTGCTGGACACCTGGGGCGGCCATCTGAGAGCGAAGATGGGGCTCGACGCTGAAGCACTCGACCACGAGATACTGGAACTTCCCCGTCCACGACGGGTAGTTTACCAGCTTGGCGGCCCTGGGGCACATGATGTCTGTCACTGCGTCTGCATGCTCCTGCTCAAGTGGGATCCTCTCGCACTTGATATTTACAGCGGAGACTCCAGGGTGCCCTGGGTTTCTTGGGTTTCGTTGGTTGTGCTATAGAATGCGTGACGTTCCCACATCCAAAATCAATGGACGTCCTGGTGTCTCAGGGTTAGGTTTCTTGTGAAAGGTTTCTTGTGGACTGGTCTCCACTGTACACGGTGTTGGCTCGCTCCCCATTGGCCTATCTCGACTTGGCATCGGCCTCCAACTTGCCCATGAGCCTCTCTGTCCCTGGCGGCGTAGCCATGACCGTCCCGCTGTAAAACAAAACGTCTATGCGATAGAATGCTTCCGCCCTCGGTCGCCTCCACCACCACGGCTGCCGTATCCTGAGCCTGAGCCTGTGCGCACTCACACACACAAAATGTGACCGTGATTACGCTGGTGCCCTTGATTCGCTAGAGAGGCTGCACCGCAATCTTCACATTGGACATGTTCTCCGGTGGACCTGAGGAGTCACCAACCATCTCTCGTTGTAGAACCGAGTTCGCCGAGAGGCATCGCTCGGGTAGCGCACGGCGAACTCCACGGAGCGCAACTGAGAAAAGCCATGGTTGAACTACGTAGCGCGTTCTCGAAGAATATTTCGAGCCAGTCTGAGTGCGGAACCTGGCTGTTTGTGTTCGCGTTGCTTGGTGTCGTTCAGCACGCTTGCTCCTACGGCTAGTTCGTTCGTTCTTGTTTGTTGCTGTTGATCTGCGCTGTTGCTCAAGTAGCTCTGATCGGACTCGCTGCTTGCGCCGCTGTCTTTCTATCTGCTGCCCACTTGAGATGGCATACGTTAACGTGTAACGGATACCACACCAGATTAAGGAGATCCATTGGGCTAGCTTCATATGTTGCTCGTCCGTTTGCAAATTGGCAGTGAGCCGGTGCCCACCCCAAAGTCGTTCGCAGTCTAGCTGGAGCTTATCAGACGATGACGGCATCGATGTCAGCGCGTTTGTCTTTCATTGGCGCCTATGACCCCTTCACCTTATCATGCGCAGATGTGCAGTCGATCACGGCTACCCGAGGCCTTTTTCCGCCATTGGCATGACGGGCCTTTGAGTCAAACTTAGCACCAAGGTCTTCTTGGACCAGACATAACATCCACTCAGGATGGTCGAGCCCGCCTGCGAGTGCCTGCACCCGTTCTGCTAGCGTGGCGGCACTGCTCTATTCAGACTGGGTAACTTCCAGACGAGAGGGGGCCAGCTCGACTCCTCACCAGTCAGTGCACGTCGGTCCAGCCCGGGTGCCCTCACGAAGAGCATCCGCGAACGCCGTGTCCGAGTGCACCACGTGGCCCCTGCGGGTCGATCGAGATGGACCAGATGGCCACCGCCTGATCCGAGAACTGCCTCGCCCTGCGGACCATCCTGTTGGTCGTCTCCACGACCCCGATCGTGG